GGTAAAACACTTGAAGATGACAGAACTAAGATGAACAGCAGCACTGAAAGCATGTAAAAATATGCTTCATGTTACCCTATCAGTTTATCCAAAACGTTCTTGTGCTTGACAATTTAGTCAAGCCAAGCACAGCTCTGATATTTCTATATCTTTGTAAAATTTATAGCAAAATGAAAAAAAGTCTGATTAGGGTTAATTCAGAGATACACTTTGGGTTTTGCTGATATTCTTTGCTCCTAATTACCAGGATACATTTACAAAATACTGAGCTATAAACACTCCCTTTTGTCCATTTATACTAGGTGGAAAGGCTGAACAGAATCATTGCATAAAAAGGACAGACCCTTAAGGATGTATCAGTAACTCCCAGGCTATATCAACTTTTAAAATACAATTGTAAGATAGCACATACTTACCTTTTAAGTGCATCAGTAGTAAAATGAAGCACCCAAGAGCTTGCATTATAAAAAAAATGTACTTTAAACAGACTTTAACAGAAAGACCACTACATCAGCCAACACTATAACCTGCATATTCAAATAAGACAATATTGCTTTTGGCTATATATTCTATTGACTTCAAATGAAAAATTAACTCGTTTAAAAAAAACTGTTAGAAAAAAATTAAGTCTGTGCCATGTTCTGTTTCATAATGCTGCAATGAAGCTTCAAAGTTTGTTCTTAAATATTAGCTCTGGTACCATCTAATGCTTCTAAGCCTAAAGGATAGTATGGACAAATGTAGGATGAGACAGAAAATACCAAGTAGGTGAAGCCACAGCAACTACAAAAAGCATTCAGTCAAACTTTATAAAAACAATCATGATAACCTGGGGAACCTATGTAGGACTCATTAGCTCTAATTGATATTATGAATTATCATGCAATTGCCACTGTGAAAATTGGTGTATTTTGAATGTTTCTGTCAAGGTACTTTCACACCAGAGCACAAAAACCTCTCACATAGCCCTCTCAGACCAGGGAAATTTGTCTGTAATTTAAACTTACCAGGTGGCTACTGGGTTGCCAAAAGCTTGGAACAAGAGGCTACAGGGGCACTGTCACGGATGACAGTCTTGTCAGCTGATGGGGCTCCCAGCCACAACGGCTTTCTACTTGTAAGTTGGTGCAGGGTAGCCTGGGATCATGATCCCGGGTCTCCCCTTTACCAGCAATAAGGTGTGATAGGATTTGATGCTGGATCTCACAATCACACCTCCGCCCATGCATGTGTAGCATGGCAGGAGGCATAATAATGTGGATTGCACGTCAGATCCTATCACACCTTTACCTGAATATCTAGAGGGGCCTGTAATTCTTAAATGTATGTGCTGTTTAAAATATAGGAAAAATACTGAGTTGGTGACTCTCAGTACATTCCCCAAGCCATTCATTGGGAGAATATAGATGCTATTTATCCATTCAAACAAAGGTTTATTTGTTTGGAAAAGGAGAGACTCCCAGAATGCAGTGCTTAGGGTACCTGGTAGGTGTAAAAGATGTAATTCATTTCCAACAATTTAGGTAAGGTGCTCACATTTATCAGTCCAGTTTCAGAGCACAACATCCCCCCCAGTGTAGGTTAAGGTAGAAAGAAAAAAACAACTGAAAAAGTAATTAGAGATCTTTTCTATTTGAGTGGACCCCAGCTCAGGGTCAACACCTCAAAGTTCTGTTCCATACAATGAAACAGACTCAACCTTAAATTTATATTTTAGAGCTGCAAGAGCCCTTCTTCTGCCTATCTATATGCAGACTATAAAATAATTAAATCAGTATTAAAAAAGTATGGTCAAAACTGGACACCAATCATAAATGAATTAATTCCCTGAAGATTTCTGGGGGCCTTTCCATTTCTCGGTAAGGTTGTGTATGATCTTACTTGAGATTCAGAGATGAGATAAATTAACTTAATTTTTATAGTCTATTTTGATACTCTTGCTTTGCTGAAAGTTAGCACAATCATCTTTAGACTTGTATTTTTTCAAGACTTCTATTGAATCATCTTTAGCTTTAGAGCAGTCCTCATCAAACCATGGTTTGTGCCACCAGCACTGGCCTATTCCCAACAAAAATGCCTTTTGTGAAGGCATTTTCCAACTGTTGGACAACTGCTTTGCATTGAGTAATTGCTCCTTGGGGTTCTTGTACTTTGAGAATATGAGATAAGTTGCCCAAGAAAGTGTCTTTGAATCAAGTAACACATTTCTCTCATAACTCATTATTAGACTGAATTCTCGCTTTGTTGACTACTACTACTTTGGGGACTGGTTGCATAGTTCTTGAGGAAGGCTCCCTATAAGATTCTAATGGATTTTTTAGAGAAAAGGCAAAGTGGTCACTTTCCACACACAGTAAAATTTAAAATGATTAGTCTTTAAACCACATATGTGGTTCTATTACTGTATTTACTTGAATCCAAGATGAGGTTATTTCCCCTATCTTGGATTCAAGTATGAGCCAGGGAAGGGGGGGCAGCAGTGGCAGCTGCTGTGGCCCTAACCCAGGGTCAGGGCTGCAACATCTGCCTGCCCCCACCTGCCACTTACCCCCTGGATTCTAGCCCTGCTCCAGTCCAGGGCACAGACCACATAATTACTTTGGCTTCTGGACTGGAAGGTAAGCAGTGGTGAGCAAATGTGGGGCAGAACACAGAGATGCTAGCAAGAGGGGGCTGGGGAAGAGGTAGTTGAGAAGGCAGATACAGGGGTAGAGGTGGGAGGGCAGGGGCAGCTGCTGTAGCCTGGCTGTGGTCCCCAGGCTGGGCCAGGGCCAGGGCCAGGGCCAGGGCCAGGGCCAGAGGGTCAGTGGCTGTGGTGGCCCAGCTGATGTAGCAAGGCAGCAGAGGAGCCAAGTGGAAGGGGCATGTGCCATGGGGACAGGCTGTTAATTCATTTAGAAGAAGAGTATTTATTTTTTTATTTCCTTTAATCATAGTAACTATTGAAGACATGCAAGATACTCAACCGGTTTGATAGTCTGGGGCAGCCTTACTGCCTTCATTTGTCCACTGTAGGGCTGGCTGTTTTATATATCCAGGTCATACCTCCTGGGAGAAAAAGCTAAACAATGAGTTAAAACTCTCACTCAAATTGGAATCAAGAGTAAGGGAAAATTGTGGGTTTAGCTTTTTAAAATTTACTTTACCCACAGTGTCTGCAGTTGGTGGTATAGAAAGTAGGTTTTCTTCCTCATTGATCTTTTCTTCCAACATCTCAATGCGTCTAAATTGTATCACTGGATTATTAGTCAGGGTATTACTGGGTTGAAAAGAAGAGGTTCTTTTTAGGCCTTTTCTAGCAATACGTCTTGTAATTTTCAGCTGTCTTGATGGATCTCAGTTTACTGACAGCCATGGTGTAGAAACAAAGGATGCTTCCACTGCTGGTGGGCTAAAGATCATTATCACAATGGTAAAAGCTCTCTGTTATATAAACCTATTACCCAGAACCAGGAATTCCATTTAAGGCACACTGGATCTTTAGCATCTGTTGACACAGGTGTTGACAAAAAGACCAATAAAATAAACAGTAAAGTAAAATAGAATAAAATTGATAAACATGAAATAAAATAAGCCTCGAGTTACGTTAATTATCAACACTTAAACAAACCAAATGAAACAAACTAAACAAATTTCAGACTAACAGAGAGGGGGCAGCATCAGTTTATGTAAAGGGGGGCCCAGCAAACCCAGGGACAGAGAGCTCCTTTGATAGAGTCCCAGCCAGATTCCTCTCTCCAGCTCCGCAGCCATCCTCTACCTTACTGCTTTTCAAAATACTTCCAATAGTACAACCAAGGATTATTAGTGCTGTTATTTGTTGCATAAAGTTTAAAACAAAGCTTCTGGGCCAATTACTTAGTAAGAGACACTTGCAAATTATACTCGCTTCAAGCATATTTTGATCAAAGATAACAATAGGACTTGAGCAATAACAATTTTTCTGGCAAATTGCATACCTCTATATAGAGGTTTCCATCGCTTTATGCAGATTCTGTATGTGCGAATTGGCTCTTATCCGATGACTCTTTTTATACCAAAAATTCGTTATATGCAAGGTAAATTCACTCTTATACGATTGGTGCGGTCGAAGCCTGCAGTGAACTGCTTTGTTTGGTGCATTGTGGGAGTGACACACACCAAAATATAGTCTCCTGTGTGGATCTGTGCTCCTCGCTCGTTGTCTGCGACATGTGTTTCTGTAGTTGCCATCCCCATTATAGCAACATTCACCACCACCTGGTGCTGTTGGTGAGTACCAAAATTGGCTTGTAAAAAGTGGCAGAAATGGGGCTGTGGGTCAGTACAATCGAGGTCTTGGAACGTATCCCTATTTGTTGCATTGTAAAGTGGGTTCCCTTTATGCAAATTTGAGTTATGCACTGTTTTCCAGGAACGCACGGACAGCATAAAGTGAGGGAAACCTGTACAGATTTGGGCCTCAATCCTGTGCTGGGTTTTGTGCTGGCTCCAGTACACAAGCCCACAGAAGTTTATAGATACTTGTGTGCAACACACTGTCATGCTCGATTCTTATTCTCTCAGAGAGTCAAAGGTCTGCCTGAGACTAATGTCCTATCAGGTTAGCATGGATAAGGCACATCAGTTTCTGTAGTTAATTGCATACAAGGGTGATGTGACTGGCATTACATTCAGCCACCTTTGAGTCCCTAGCCTAAATGACCAGGTACCATTTACAGTCAGGTAAACTGTGGGCAACCTTCACCAGTCCAGAGAGGGATTCAAACTCATACCCCTGGAGACAAAGGAAGATGCCCTAACTGCTCTGCCACTCTACTCCAGCAAGGTTCTAGATAGGCGTTGCTTAAGCAGCTGCACTGCTGGCCAATGGCTGCTAGCTTCAGGAAAGTGCTCGCTAGTTTTAGCAGAATACATTTGGTAAAAAAGAATAAGCTATGAAATCTAGTACAGTAACAAGAAGCAAAAAGACATTAATCAGCTTCTATCAAACATTATAATGGTAAAAACAAATAACTTACTGTCTTTTCATCATTTTCAAAAGCTTCTCTTGCTTCCTCATAGCTACAAACTTCTTCTTTGCATTCACGTTCTATGTTCCCTTGCTTTATCTCTTCCAAAAATACATTGGCTCTTGGGTATCTTTTTAACACAGAGTTAGCTTTGTCCTCTGTTAGGAACACTAAAAGAGAGAGAGAGAGAGTTGATGCCATTTCTAAATATTATGGTACAGTCCCAAAATTCAAGATAAAGCCACCAAAGAAGTTACAATGTCTTCTGCAAAGATATTTTTAAAGAGGTTTTTTTTAGTGTAAAAGCATAAGAAAATCCTCCAAATGTTTCTGGCCATAACAAACAATTTCATGTAGAATTCTGAGAACTGCAAGCATGATGGCACAAGTAGGCCAAGTCCAAAACTCAGTCCTAGTTCAGTGCAGCACCAATATTCAGGAAAGCAGTCAAATTCATGGAAATTAAGCCCCTTGACTTGGAAGTGTTCAAGCACATACACAAGCACGTTGTGAACAGAGTTTAATTTAAGCACATTTCCTTTAATCAGAACCAAAGAGAACAAAAAAGAAGGGGGTATGTTTATGAATTCTCCAAAAGCATGCCAATGCATGCCATCCTAAAATGATTAGAATTTTATATTTTAGTATCCTATTTATAAACAAACGTTATAGTCAAGAAAGATTTTAAGAAAACTGCAGCCTAAAGTCTACCTGTTTTCTTACGCAAGGCTGGAGCTGGCTAGCTACTAAATCTTTTGGGAAGCATATAGCGAATGCTATATGCTTTTGGGAAGCATAATGCTAGGTGTGCTGCAAAAAAGGCGAAAAAACAGAATCAGAAAAAGAACCTAAAATGGCACTGTGATTACCAGGAAGATTGTATACCTCACGTAGGACATTGCCAGCAAACTGACCAAGATCATTTTATGGTTCAAATAAAACTTTAATGAGTGGCCAAATGTTTTACACTAAAAACCTTTACAGTTTAAGTAATTTCTTCTAGGTGTATTTTATCTGTCAAGAGTAAAAGTGCATGTGGATAACCTCTAATTCTGATCTTCTAGTTTATCTTTCCTTTTCATCCTTTCACTAAATGATGCATCTTCTACCTATGACCACAATGCTATTTCTGCCAGGTATGCATATTCATCTTTTCTCCCAAATTTATGGTGGCTTCTAGGCTGAGCTGGTTTTGTGCCTGTTGTGTATGTGCCAGCCTGCAACAAGGTCTGGGATAGCCCAAATCTGCTACCAAGTGATATTATTTGGAGCAGGGGTCAGCAATTTACAGTCTGCAGAGATGAGGCTTTGGTGTTTGGCATGGGGAGGGAGCTTAGCTTCCGCTGCACACAGTTGGGAAGCCAACAAGTGGGGAGAAGCAGTGGAGGTGGCCAGGTCCAAGCACCAGCCTGTCTCAGACATGAGCTGGGCCATTCTGGGCCACTTCTGGGCAAGATTCCTGACTGCTGGTCTAGAGGGACCAGGCCCATATTTATTCTGAATTAATATTTTTAACTTGAGTGTGATCTGTTTGCATGTTATAGTCTGATATTCAGTTTTAAGATTAGAGACTTTCTACTAACCTGTTTTAAAAATAATTATAATTTTCCTTTGCATTTTTTCATCGAGACGTCCAATACTGTACCAGCATTAGATTCAAATTTCTTTCAAATGTATTTTAAGCTAGATTTTAGTTTGTTTAACACAAGAAATGTGCTTCTTCCCTTATAATTCTTTCAGGTGAGGGGCAAAAGACATGCAAGTATTTTTTTTCTAATTGGGTCAATATTTGAATATTTGACCCTGAGATACAAAAGAGCCAGGGATATAACTGTGTTCCTGAAACAGATATGCAATTTCATGTGACAGATCAAGTATTTGCATGTGGAAATAACCAGTCAGCTATAAGACAGACCACACATACATGGGGGTGTGTGCGTGTGTGTGTGTGTATACACACACACACACACACACACACACACACACACACACACACACAC